TAGTCTACTATATTGTACTTTGTATGTGACTTAGTGACTCAGATAAACATTTCACATTAAAAACATGGTAAATGTTTATAAAATAAAACACATTGTTAAAGATTGAACCAGTTATAGTTTCTTGGCTTTGCTCTCACACAAACACTTTGTAGCTTCTTTTCATGTTGTTTGAGTCGTTTGCCGTTTCACCAAAGAGACACTTCACCTCCAAACGTCTCACACGGTTTCATTTAAATGTTAAATAACTGTTTGTTGACTGACATTTTAAAAGGGTAATACATATTTGAGGTTGATGGTTCAGATCTCCTGAACAAAAGGTTCTCGTGACCCATTCGTCTGAAAAATAGATAGAAACTTGTGCCTTGGACTAGACTAGCTAAGGAAGTAGTTCATGCTGCTCTATAATTGATGCATCAGTATTAAACATGTCATACATATTAATATATCAGTCTTAAAAGGCAGTTTCTGCAGAATGAGTACATTTACTTTTCATTCTTTTAGTACATTTTGTTGCTCAAACGTCTGTGCTTTGACTTCATTAGGATTCTGAACGTTGTACTTTTACTTGTAACGGAGTACTTTATATTAAAACATAAACATGTACCAATCGCATGCTTCCAAAGCACGAGATGAGATAAAATATGATGAAATATTAAATTTACTGTCACATAAGACACAGAAAAAGTAGCAAATTCTGTTGAATGTTTCTCATTTCTGCTTAAAAAACGACTGAAACGATCAATCGATTATCAAAATATCTTCCTAGAAATCAACTGATTCATCAACAGATCGCTGCGTGTGATCTCAAATTTAGATCTGCTGACAATATTTTACATTTGATTCGAGTTGTATTAAACGTGTCCCGATGAATGACTGAAGACTCAAACGAAGATGGAACTATTTCAGTATTATAAGGCTTTGATTATTTTCATCATTGACGAATCATTTGGTCAATAAATATCAGAAAACTGAGAAAAATTTAGTTTACAAGAGCTCAGCATGACTCAAAACATCTTGTTTTGTCCAAAAAGTGAAATTCACTGTCATGTAAAGACTAAAAAACAGCAACAAATCTTCAGATTTGAGAAGCGATTAGTAGATTTATCCCCGCAGCTCTAATTTCTCTCAATCTTTAATGAGTCACGTGTTCTGAAGGGAAATACAACTCTGTATCTAACAAGACGAGACTGAGCCCAGTATGCAAATCCTGAAAGAAAATAAAAAGCAGATTTTTTCCAAACGACAGGAAATTCCCTGAATGAACAATACGTCCATTCAAAACAACACACACGCGCGCGCACACACACACACACACACACACACACACACACACACACACACACACACACACACAGAGAAGCACTTCTGAGTACCAGACTCCTCTCTGGCTTTTTATGATCATGGAGAGCACGCGGAGGCTGATGCAAAGTGTTTGTGGGCACTTTATTGTGCGCTCGCCGTCACATACAGGTCTTCATTAGGAGCGTCTCGAGACTTTGGTGGGGGGGGGGGGTTGGGGGGCTTTTGTGTGCGTGAATCACTGAGGTTTATGTCTCTTTTTTTCCTGCAACACTAATACGCCACTATGTCAGAGGGAGTCTGTTTTAGTGCGACGCTTTATGGGGCCGGCGGAGCACTTTACCAGCACTCACCTCCTCCTCACCCCTTTTAACTTATTAACTTACATTAACTCGCTTTAAACCCGTCAACAGCTCTGCGTCTGTGGCACAAATAAATCTCAGCGGCGGGCGCCGAGTGTGTGAAGCTTCCTTTTACCTCCTAGTCACTATTAATGAAGCCCATCTCCATGTATTTATTTTCTGGACCGCGTGATCACTTTTTAATGCACTTGAGTGTTTTTTAAAGTGCAATCAAACGGTAATTAAAGGCTGGCGGTGGGTGTTGACCATAAATGCTCTTTTGTGCTTTCACTTTGGGAGAAACAGAAGCACGAGTCAATTGTTCAATGTACCTGCAAGATGGCCTCTTTTTAAAAAGAGAGGAAGGTAAACAATGCAATGAAAGCCTCTTAAAAGGATCTTTTTGCTTTGCTCTTTGAGTGACAGCACAGAGCAGATACACAAGAGTCTGTCACCTTACATTTAAAGCGAATTATTCACTCGTTATTATTGCAAAACGTCACATATCATAAATACTCTGATCTCAAGATTCATAATACTCTCGAGCTTGAGACGTAAGCTTCCGTGTGCCCAGATGAACCTCGTCTCCTCCGGACAGGAGATTGATAAATGTTGGACACCAAAAAAAAAAAAAAGAAGAAATCAAGTGAAAAATCAAATCAGCAGAGCTGAATGTGTCCGTCCCTCTAACGAGCCGCTGATTGAACATTTCAGTGGGGAAACATGGAGTCATTAGTCTCCACGCTGCGAAGAAGCGTTTAAAAAGAAACTTGAGTCGAGGAAGAAGAAAAAAAATATAATTACAATACAGGAGAAACAGGAATAGCTGTGAAGCATCAATTTAAGCATAATCACTACAATTACTGCTCCCAGGGTCCGCTGGAGTCACTCAGTGATTGTTTTGGGGGAATAAATTGTATTTGTGTGGATATGACACCTTCTTCCTCAGAAGTCATGCATCTTCCCATTATCTATTCTAAGTGAGGAGCGCTCAGCTCGTCGGGGGAACATCGCTCCGTGTTGCTGGAGGATTAACTGCGTTAGCGACTTGTGAAATGATCAGTTGCAGAATCTGTAATCTATTTATTAGCTCCTCAGCAATCAGTGTTAAGAGAGGAATGGGTTTCAGCGACGGATTATACGTCTTCTTTTGTGTTTGGTTAAACTGTTTAGGAAGTTCAACCCAGGCTAGTCTTCTAGAAACACCGTCGTGTTTACTCTCAACAAGACGACTTTGATGGTTCGATTTGAGGTGTTTTATACCAAAGAAATAGTCCCTGAACTATCGGCACATTAAACTGTTTTTGGTTTCATGTCGAATTAGATAAATAGACTATTTAACGAGTACATTTTACTTATGAAGCCCTTCAAATCTGTGCTGGACCCTCTGTCCTCAGACCCTCCGTCCTCAGACCCTGTGATCCTCTGACCTAGGACCCTCAAGTTGCATTAAAAAAAAAACATTTTTTGGATTAAAAAACAAACATTACAATAAAATAAAGTCTGGATGTAACAGAGACATGAATTAGTGCATCAGCCAGAAAAGAAAGGCTGAACTGCGTTGCGTTGGTGAAAAAAGGTGATTCATTTAATGAGCTGATCGAAAAGTAGTTGAATCAAGTTGACTTTTGAGTTTAATAAGATTTAAAATAGAGTTCATCTGTCAATCAACAGATCTTAACTGAAACTGGATACCAGAGACAAACATTTTAGTAAAGATTAGACTGGAAGCGAGCAAGAAGGTAATTACAAGACGCTGTTTGAGTTTACAGAAAGAAAAGGGAGAAGAGCCGTAAACTAAATGTGACTAACAACTCTTACTTTATGTACATCATCACATCATCATCTACTGTTACTTGATCAAACTATTATATACAGTATGTGAAGCCCAGAGAGAGCTGCAGGAATGAGTCCTAAAACCAGGAAATTAGCATCTATAACACTTTCGGTTCCCTTGTTTGAAGTCTGTGTTTTTGGCAGCCGATGCTTCATGTGTTAAAGCTGCATTCTCTCTAGTGTCCACCAGGGGGCGACTCCTCTGGTTGTATAGAAGTCTATGAGAAAATGACTCTACTTCTCTCTTGATTTATTCCCACAGTAAACATTGTAAACATGAGTTTATGGTCTCAATCTCTAGTTTCAAGTCTTCTTCAATACAGCATGATGTTCATTTAGTACATTATGGTCCATTTAGAGTCAAACTGGTATCATTGGTCCTCTGCCTGCACGAATCTATTCAAGCCTTTTAATGAAAACGTGTCGCAAACTGTCACAACGGTGTTTTTTGTTGTTGTTTATCCATCACACCCCCGATGTGTAAAGGCCTTAAGATGGTAAACATTATACCTGCTAAACAACAGCATCTGTAGACTCTTACTTGTGTCTTTGGCTTTCTTTAATGTAGAAATTGTGACGTATATTTATTGCTGAAGAGTCCAGATGTTTTCTGTATCAAAGCCTTTACAAGTATCTTGTAAAATGTGTAAATAAGTTTGAAAACCTTCCATGTGGCAGTGGATCTGTATGATGTGTGTGTGTGTGTGTGAGTGTGAGAGATGGGAACAGCTGGCTGAGGGAATGAGTACAGAGGGAGAGGTGATGGATGCGAGTGGAGCTCCTGTGACAGATGAGCTAACAGGTGTTCACCACAGCCCTCAGAGAGACGCTATTTATGAGCCGGAAAAGACAGCCAGACGCAAAGCACACTACACCACCGGCCTCTCAGAGAGGTAACACATCACGTATACGTCTGCACAACTTTAGTCCACCACCAGCAACAAAGCAGAGCTGTCTTTAGGCTCTTTAACTTTTAGCTTTTCTCAACGTTCTCGCTGCAGAAAGTCCTCATTCATCTTCTATTAACATTGAATAAAGCACAGAAACAATCCTACTTTGCTGTTACTGCTCTTAATAGCAGCTCTGCAGCAACATGAGTCTCTGTTAAATATGAATGTTAGTTTATAGCAGGGAACAAAGAAAACACAAACCTTTGTGTTTTCAATGTGTCCGTGTCGTTTAATTCACTGAAGAATAAAACAGATTATAAAGGCTGTAACTCAGGGCAGATATCATTTCCCCCATATTCCATGTACTGTAGTACTCCACATTAAAGTATATTATTCTATTGATTCTATTTACAGTTTCACCTCCAGTCTGTCTGTGGAAACTGTCTTAATGGGCCCGGATCACGAGTCTCTTCTTGCCGACAGATTCATCTCAATCATGATGTCATGAGTGCACGGCCAATTAGCAGAGCTCGTCACTAACGACGTCGTGTTTCAGCCACGTTCCTGTAAATGACGATAAATCACAGCGTGTTGGAGACGCCGTCACGTAAAATACATATAATTGAGACAAATATTTATTTGAATAAATTCACTCTTTATTGTTCAGGCAAAGCGGTACAAATAAAAAGACCTTGTTGATTTAAGTCTAACATACATGTTTTGGTTTTTCTAAATAACATTTTCACGTAGAAGGCACTTTAACAAATGTGGTTTTTGGGGTAAAACTACATCAGGGACAGAGAGGCTCGTTTGGCGTTTATCATGTGATGAGGTCTACATTTAATGGTGAAATCCTCCTTTTTCTATTTTTTTCTTGGCACTAAAGTCCATCAATGCAAACCGTCTCAACATCTCAAACTGTAGAAACATCGACGACGGTCAGACGGTCGAGTGACGCAACGATGTACTCTCTCACAAACATGTACGTACAGCTGCTTAAAATAATGTTTGGTCAAAACCAGAGAACAGTAAATAGTAACCGCTGAGGTAAATGACCAGTTGGTCCGACACGATTGGATGGAGAGTGACGTATAAAGGAGGTTAAATGTCACATTTTAAATTCTTTGATGCCTTCTGTGTGTTCTTAAAGGGGGTTCACTACTTTACTCGAAGACTTTCACAAAGTTATTCTCGTGATTCAGGACAATCCTTCCCAAAAACCACGGCCCATAAAAAAAAAAAAAATAGTTTCCAGTTAATTCTCCGTGAGTGACACAAGATCAAGCTCCGTATTTCGGATAAAAGTGCTTGAATTGTCCTCAATCACAGAGATAAAATACGTGAAATCTTTAATGAAGTGTGGTTCCCCTTTACCTTTACTCAAGGGAGGAGGGAGGAGGGAGGAGGAGGGTGGAGGGAGGAGGGAGGGAGGGCTCTCTACGCCAGGGCGAGGGCTTGTTTGAGGTCTCGGAGCAACATGGACGCCATGACGCTCTTGTCTGTGTTGATGGTGAGCAGCGCGGCGGAGGACTCCTTCAGCTCCAGCGAGACCAAGACCAGGGCTCCGCTGCTCACCGTCCGCCCAGCAAACCTGCAGGTGAGGAAGAGAACTTCAGCTTCACAAAACCCAGAAGACAGACTGACACTGAGCATGAAAGGGAGAGTTCACACAACGGTTTTCAATGGAACTACTTTCTACCAAAGAAATAGTCCCCATAAAGACCAGTCCACCGTAGACAGACCCAGATCCGGCTTCACCTGCAGCCGTGGACCTGCAGTCGGAGCTCCGGAGGGAGGAGGAGAGCTCAGCTCCCGGCAGCAGCTCGTCCTCCTCCTCCAGGAGCAGAGCTTCTCCTCTCTGGGAGCCAACACCGACACCACACTGCTGGAGACCCAGGACGTATTGCTGGACCCACTGGAGGGAAGGGAGGCATGGGAGAACCAGAACCAGGACTGAGAGGGTCAGACTGTCAGACCCTGTTGCAGTAACATGAGAGGTTATCTAAAGGGACTCTGGCAGCTGCATCTTTTCCTTACAGTAACTTTTCTTTGGTAAAGATGGTCCGGTGTATCCTATGCTAAAGGAGATAGGAAAGGAAGCATTGAAGCACCTTTCTTTAGCATTTAGAAAACTCAAGCAGCTCTTATCATGTCTGCCACTCGGATACATCCAGGTCATTTCATTCATCTTATGCGTTTAGAATATCTGCATTAAATATAAATGTGAAAAACTTGTCTGGGTTCACCTCGGTTAAAGTTATCAAACAGGTTTTTATATAAAATAATAAACATATTTCAACAATTGATCATCACGAGGCAGGATGGTTGCATTTGTAGACTGAACTAAGCTCACTTCATTACTTCTATTTGATTATATTTATATTTGATTATATTTCTATTCCTGTTATACGGACCATGAAATGAAATAAAATTCTCTTTATCGATGAAACTTTTCCACATAAAACACCTGAATGTGAAGCCAATGGTTGATGGTACATCAATGAACAGTTAACGTAGAACACAAGGCGCTTTAATAAAGAGATGAATGAGTCGCCCGGCCTGCACACTTAACTCGCATTTCTCCCCCAAACCCGTAAATCCTCTTGTCAGAACATTCTCCAACACCTCACACCTTGTAATGACTCTAAATGAGTGAGTGAGACAAAGAAGGAAAACGATGTGACAGGAAAAATAGAGAGCGGAGCAACAGACAGTCCATTATTCCAGCTGACTGAAGAGCCATGAGGGGCGGGACACGCCCTCCATGTCACTCAAACTGTCTTTAGCCTGTTTTTTTATGGACTGTGGCCATCTATGAGTGTGTGGGAAGCCTCTGGACCAGTATGGGGGACGCCCCCCCCCCCCCCCACCCCCATGTCCCACCGGACCATCGGGAGGATTCTTGGTCCCCTGTTTCCTTGGATACTGTCCCTGCAGACCGGGGCCAAACGTGGGCACACATGGTCCCCATTGAGAGCGCTAACAAGAGGCAGACAGGGGCTATGACCCAGCGTGACCCTCTTTGAGGAGCGACGGAGCCGAGCGGAGCCCCCTCTGCATCTCCGGGGCCTCACGTGGCCGACTCCCAGCCATCTGCCTCCATTTAGCACTACATCCCCGCAACAAAGACCCCCCCGTGGCAGCCTGCTTAGGCCTGACAAACAGCCCACAAAGAGCCCCACTTAGGCCCGACTGAAGCCTGTGAAGAGCCCCCCGCAGGACGGCCTGTGGGCAGAGCGGCGTGCTGCGCGGCAGGAGCGGCTAGCACGTCCACCAATTAGCACGCACACGTTAAAGAGGGTGGTGGTGAGGGGGGGGGGCATGCATACACAATGAAACTGGCTCACAAACCCAGTGTGTCTGGGTGCGTCTCTGGGGAGCTGCTAAATTACCATCAACAGAGGAGAGGGAGTTTATCAGGAGGCTCTCAGGGAGGAGAGAGTGTGTCCTCCTCGGGCTTAATTAAAATATTAGCCACTTCAGCAGGAAACACAAGCCATTCAAGAAGAGGATTAATTTCTCTCAAAAACATCCAGCCTCTTTGCTTCTTTAAATAATTCAGGGGTTGCATATCAATTCAAAATTACTAATTGTGGGAGAATTAAAGACGCGTCCTCTGCCGTACTTCGCTCCAACCTTTAGAAGATGTTTTATTCCCATTCAACACGAACATGAAACACGAGCGTGTAAACACGAGGAACATCCGGTTCCCTCCGCTCTGCCCCCGCTGTCAGCAGCTTAAGGTGTCTATGTGGTCCCTGTGGCTTTGCTAATGGATTTAGGATATAAATCTATCATTTACTCGGCCAGTTAACACTAGCCTGAGGCGGCTTTCATTCCGTCTCAGGAGACGCCGCTCTGGGCTGTTGTTCATGTGTTGCAATAAGAGCGTTCCAATCGCGTTTGATTTCCGAGCGTATTTTGCTTTGAACATTCTCGCTTTCGCGTTTTTTTGTGGTACGAGCAGATCTACGTCACCATCTAACACAACATGGGGGCATTTTTTGGGGGGGGGACTAGAAAGGGGGACAGATTAAGGACAAGCGGGCCTTAAACGGGTCATTGGTATTCTCCTGCACTCTTCACATGCTGGGCTAAACACTGGATTAATTGCAGTGTATGGAAAGAAAAGCAAAGCATAACCCCTGGACTTAGAGCAGGCGGATTGGCATCGATCGGCGGGGCTGCGGCTAAGCATCACTCTCCAATTATCTGTGATTCTCCTCAGTGCAGAGAGCCTCTGTGTGCCATCTGCCTCCCCTCCACCCTGCCACTGCAAACACAAAGTGGGCTTTCACCTTTACATTCGCCCTCACATCGGAGACGACGCAGAGGATTCTGCAACCAAGAATGCAGGACTTAACCCTGTGGCGGGTACATGAGCATCTCAACCAAACGTTCGACCGGCTTTGACTCCGAGCTGGTTCAGAAGAAATGATTCGTGCGTGATGTTGTTACAGAAATCAGGAGCTCAGAAAGGCTGAGGCCAAATGTGCGACGGCTGGGCATCAGTGTTCGATCCTGGTGTTCGGCCAGGTGGACAAGTGTCCTTCAACTGAGTGGTCAGTGAGGCCAGAGCAGCAACACATGCGAGCAGACTCAGACCAGGCAGATGGCCAGAGCCATTAGCCCCAATTAGAAGCAGGAACCCTCCACGCATCTCCAGAGCTCGGCCATACGGACGGACTGCAGCGACCGCACTCGAAGGGCGGACGGCGAGGACGGACAGACTGCAAGGGCTGATGGGAAATAAGACGGGAGACGAGAACTTAACTCAACAAGGACTCGAGGAGAAAACGTTACCGAGCTCGACGCGTAAATTCCGTTTCCACAAGCTCCCTCTTTGTACCGTGTGAAGATGGATCATAAGCCACACTGTCTGCTGAAGCAATCCATAATAAAGAGAGCAGACGGTTAATTAGTCAGGTTATAAATGAGAGCCAATTAAACTTTAAACAGGAACAAGAATTCAACTTCCCCAGAAAAAGGGGGAAATGCAGTGTTTCAAGAAGCATCATTTAATGATATCAGTGTGTAAAGTAAAGAGAAAGCATAGCTTATACATCAAGGGTTCAGCTTTCTTCTTTTCTTAAATTAGGCTCTAACCAGAGGGATTGGCAATGCATGCAAAATTCGATCAAATTTGCTTTCAAACGGACTGAAAAATAGAGCACATTTATTCTATTCCGCCTGTTTAGACATAAACAAGAACAGCGTTTTCTACATTTGCTTTCCTGCTTGATTTATTGCCATCCTCCTTTCCAGCAATCAATTTCTGTGTTTCAGTGGCATCCACCACCACCAC